AGAGAGAGAGAAAGAGAGAGAGAGAGAGAGAGAGCGAGAGAGGGAGAGAGAGACTGAGAGAGCAAAAGAGAAGGAAACACAGACAGAGAAACACGGCCTCACCTTATAGAGCATGTTTCCATCCTCCATCAGCTTGTTAAGCAGAATCGTCACGATCTCCGGTTTGCCCTTTGCCATCGCCCACGTTGCTGGCCCTACAACACAGGCACATATAGTAGGCACACTCAGTAAACAGATACACTCAGTAAACAGATACACTCAGTAAACAGATACACTCAGTAAACAGATGCACTCAGTAAACAGATACACTCAGTAAACAGATACACTCAGTAAACAGATACACTCAGTAAACAGATACACTCAGTAAACACCTACACTCAGTATACAGATACACTCAGTAAACAGATACACTCGGTAAACAGATACACTCAGTAAACATGCAGATACACTCAGTAAACAGATACACTCAGTAAACAGATACACTCAGTAAACACCTAATATACACTCCGTAAATAACTAAGCAACTGTCACTGTTGCAATCCTACCAAACATTCATCCACGCACATGACTGCATTAGTATCCAACATATAACATCCTTTCCCCAAATTGGCCTGCCTCCACCCCCCCCCCACCGACACTACTGCCTCATTATTCCTCCTCCCCTCGGCTTGGCACTATCTATCCTCTCCCTTCCTTCCCTCCTCTCTCACCCTCCTCCTCTTCACCTAGCTTGAAACCCTTCTCCCCTCCTACTCCTCCCTCTCCTCACTCTCCCCGGCTCCTACTCCTCCTCCCCCTCCTCCTCTTCATCCCCCTTCCTCCCCCTCCTCCTCCTCCTCCNCCTACACTCCGTAAACAGATACACTCAGTAAACAGATACACTCAGTAAACAGATACACTCAGTAAACAGATGCACTCAGTAAACAGACACACTCAGTAAACAGATACACTCAGTAAACAGATACACTCAGTAAACAGATGCACTCAGTAAACAGACACACTCAGTAAACAGATACACTCAGTAAACAGATACACTCAGTAAACACCTACACTCCGTAAACAGATACACTCAGTAAACAGATACACTCAGTAAACAGATGCACTCAGTAAACAGACACACTCAGTAAACAGATACACTCAGTAAACAGATGCACTCAGTAAACAGACACACTCAGTAAACAGATACACTCAGTAAACAGATACACTCAGTAAACACCTACACTCCGTAAACAGATACACTCAGTAAACAGATACACTCAGTAAACAGATACACTCAGTAAACAGATACACTCAGTAAACAG